GTTCTTCGAGCTATATGGCCGGTCAATTGCCACTTCAGCTTACTAATCCATTGGGCGATGTCGGTCACTGTGGTTCTGCTGTAGATATCCTCATTCCTAAGTTTGAACCCCTGAGCATAGCCCTTTCTCATACGGCCAGCAGTGAAAGACCTCGTCTCAGATCCATAGGTCAGCACTTACACTGACTGACGAGAAGATGTGTTGTAATCTCCCGAACGCTGCCCAACCGAGTTGAATCCGTCCATTGACCTGTCGGTCGAAGTTGAACTTACCTAGTTGGACTATTTGTCCCAAGTAAAAATACTCGTCAATAACTTCAGCTAAGTGTTCCCAAAAACCACTGGCATAGGTGTGACATAAACATTGACATGACTTTTGTTTTGTCCATGTTCATCTTAAGACCTATCCGTTGGGAGACACTATTGAGGTCATTGAACATAGTGCGTGGGTCCTCCAGCGATTCTGCCATAAGGACTATATTGTCGGCAAATCGAAGGTGAGTGACGTACACGCCGTTGACGTTCATACCGTATCCTTTCCAGTCCAGTAGCTCGAAAACGTCTTCCAATGCAGCGGTAAAGTATTTCAGGGAATGTAACTACGTTACCCTGTCTTACACATCTCTACAGTTGGATTAGTTTTGTACTCTGGCTCTGTACTCGGATAGCTATCGTAGCCCTTAGACCATTCAACTAAAAAAATTATTAAGATTAAAATAACTACACAAAATAAAAATAAAAACATAATTTCTAAAATAATTTATTGTCAACCGTTCATTTAGTTCTCAGCTGCTATAATAACGCCTATTCTAATCAACTACAGGTCTGTCTATAGACAGTAAAATATTTTCTACTATATAAAAATTTATGTTTGTTCGTACTTTCTACAATGCTATACCGTTCATCAGATTGCGGTAAAACTTAGTCAACTTATTGGTTACACTTGTGCGAAGGTTATACGCATGGTACAATTAACTGACATTAGGTGGCGTGCGTATTATACTGACTATTTATTTGAAAGTTAAAGAAAATCATTCTATTTCAATGATTGTATTATCATTCCTTATTATACAATATAACTTCCACATTTTTAACGATATGACCACAATTACTTCTTCTGCGGCAGCATTGCGCCGAGTACGAGCTAGCAAAATAATATAAAAAATATAAACTTTGAATTATATTGTTATCAGTTATTTACAACGAAATTTTCGAAATTCAAATAACAATATTAAAAAAAAAAAACAGAAATTATCATACAGTCCCACTTTCTGTGGTATCGTCCCAAGAATGCTGGCTACGTGTCCTCTCTGAATGGCTATACTTAGCCTTCAAACGACTAAACAACAAACTAAACAACTTCTTATTACAAGCAGCGAAAATCAGTCGCAAATACAGTTTTTTAGGAACTACACCGCACGTGCACCCTACGGATCAATAGTCTCTACAGCAAATTGCACAAATATGTACTCATCTTCTAGATATTCTGGGCTATTTACTTAGTTCAGTTGCCTCTAATGCCACCTCTGCTTTAGACGAGACATCCCTGAGATGAGATGCTGTCAAAGTGTTCGCAAGTAGTATCCCACACTAAAGCTTTATCTCTCTTTCTCTCTCTTAAGCAACCAAACCCATACCGTCGGGTCTCCTGGTGTCGTCTCTAAATATTCTACAAAGATCTTAAACTGAGGAAACATTTATAGAGATACGAACTCTTCGGATGAAATTGTCCAAGAACTAAGGACAACATTATATTAAAGAATACCATAACATTATTACACGGTTATTTAACCGTGTATCAAGAATGGATTCGACCAAATACTATGTTAAACCAGAGTAACTAACCCTCGAATAATTTTACTCTTTGATCTTACACCAAGATAACTTCATTATGCGTTTTGTAACACAAACGTAGAGAAGCCAATACTGGCTATTGTTACTCTAGAGTTGGTAGTTGTTGGTAGAGTTTATTCATTCAAACAAGTAAACCAACTTAAACCAGAATACAACTGTTGTAAAGCGCAATCCATGATTTGAGGTCCACATAATTTTCCGTAAATGTAAATAATGCCGCCCAATGGCAGCTCCTCCTTAGTTGCTGTCTTCTCTCCCGTTTTCATTCTCAGATAAGGCGCACCAGAAACAAGCCACACTGCCCTTCGCGTTCTCTAACTCCACCAACTCCACTCCTATGGACTCCCCGAGCCCGATATGTGAATGGAGCCAGGGAAAACTATCACTTGGAAGCATGAAGTGGTGCAGCCTCACCAAAGTCGCAAAAGATAGTCGAGTAGCGCATTGTCAATCGCCATATCAACACTCCTCTTCCCTTACGACTCCACCTCGACTACAGCGGTACAGGGAGAGGAATCTCCTCTAGCCGCAGCCCACTAAAACTCGTGGCTCGACATCTTCAGGCGACCTTTCGACACTTGGCTATGGCCCTTGAGTTAGGTGAAAAATGAGGAAAGAAGAAATAAAAAAACATTCGAAATAATAATCTAATACTTTTATACTTACTAGTACTGGTACTACCAGAAAATATTGTCGGCATACTGCACTTTTTCAAAGTGGTGCAGTTCTCGCGTCTAATAAAACAGTCGTCTGTGAAATGTTTGGAACAAATATGATCATTTTGTTTCGGACGCCAATTCACAATATCTATGCTTTTAAGCCAAAATTTTAATCTAGGTTCACTTGGAAACCTGTTAATTAATAAATATTTGATAATCGTCTGTTGTTGGCGACTTTGTTTGTTAACAGATATGGGTGGGAAAGAACATCGATAAGTATTATAGACAAGGAACTCAACAACCCTATTGAATTTTATTGTTTATCAAAACTCAGTAATATACAGCCAAAGATGTTGGTATATATGATATTAAGATTAGTAACAAATTTTTAAGTACTTATATTATCAAATAGTTTTAATTTGTTACATATTTGCTGCAAATTCACTTACTTGTGAAATGTTATACCACTTCCCTTTTGGTAACGAGTTTTACAGATTACGAACACACACATTATTAATAAAAATAATTCTTATTATGTAACTAATATTATACACAATCAAAAAACATAAAATACTTTCATTTTTTAGATTAAAAGTTCAAAATACAGATTTATTAAATAAGACAGTATAAATATGACAACAGACTTTTGCATATTATGTCAATTTTACTTTTCAAGACACCTTTAGCGGCGCTTCAAATTGGAACAGTCATTTTCTATGGTATAGCCAGTCCAGCGTACTTGTATTATATAGAGGTCAGTGATTTCAAGGCATCAAAAGCGGTTGTCAACCGCTGAAAACGAAAACAACCGTTGTTATCGGCTCGGTTGAAACTTTGACTAGAGAAAAAAGAAAGGACATGACATACCTACGAAAAAAGCGTGTATACCTAAATTGAGTCTGGCACAAAGATGGCGGCTTGACGTAGTGTTGCGCACTATACTTAATATCGATAATGTGGTGCTTATTTGAAAAAAGATTCTTTCGTGTGATTCGTCTCAAACACCCGAGTGTTATTAGATAGGTTTTTTTAAATCGATATGACGGATGACAAATTGTAAATCCTTAATTTTTTACTCAACCTATCGATAGTGATATCAAAATAAAGGAAATTAAAAGGACTTTACTGAAATATATATAAGTTATACCTATGTTTTCAGTTCATTACATTTAAGTAGTCATTTTGTTTTGCTTTTATAATGTAACTAACTATCTATTATTAATGTTACAATTATTTGTCAGGAATTACTAAACAAGAAATACTAATTAAAGAATTTTTGTTTGTTTGTTAGACAATAAATTAGGCTCAGTCATCACACTCACACAAATCAAACTATAATAAATGCAAAAGTTTGAATGTTTGTTTGTTCCTCAATCATGCCAAAGTATCAGACCAGTTTAAATGTAATAATTTGGCACACAAATAGTTCATTACCTGAATTAACATATAGTATTAGAGGTCCCGAGAGATAGAATAAGAAGATACCTAGGGCGGACATTACTTCATAATAAAACCGAAACTTCCATTTAAAAAAATATTTATTACAAACATAAATTAACCGCACTTACTAATTACGAAATAATATAATTTTATTAAAATAATTTCGAAACTAAATTTTTTCTGTTATTTTCTTTCCAAAGTATTTAAACCTCAGATCCATATAGGTTTGGACTACGGATTTAATAAGTAAAAGTCTATGTGTCGTGTCATGTTCGCAGTTTGATTTAAACAAATTCGCTTCATCAAAATGTTCCAATAAAAAATCTGAACACATGGAGATAATATTGCTCAGACCGCAGTTGTTTCTGAAAAATATCCTTTAAGATTTTTTCCACTTTAATTAGAGTGCGCTTCACGTCTGTTGGTGGGTAAATCAGTCCACCCCTGTTCTTTAAAGTAATTAAACTCTTTTGATAGTCTTTGTGATCGCCAAACAACAAAAGTCCATATCACAGTCAGTGCCCACGTTAACTCTTCCATAATAAGTCTTAGTTTGAGGATCCCAGCAAAGACACTTTCTGATAGCCATTTCATCTAACACTAAAGAACATAGCACTGGCATCTCACTTGTTTGAGCTTTGAGTTTCATAGCATTAAAAGCTTCTGTACAAAAACCAGGCTCAGCATTTACATTCTGGTACCACCTACTTAAAGTTCTCGGATGTGGCAAACACGTATTGTAGGTACGACGAATAAAATCGTAGGCCTTTGGAGACAGAAAGTGAAGCGTCAATGCGAATTTTCGAACATCTTCGCTGTATTGCATTTTCATAGGCAATCATACCGATTTACAAATTTGTCTCTTAAGAAAATCTTTGGGGCCTGCGCACTGCTCCAACACAGTCGCATGATCATCATTAACATAATTTTTGTCCTTTATATCTTAAAATTTTAAAATCAGCTATTTTCTTATTTTGTCTCCTCACTTTATCATTTAGTCTTTTAATTTTTTTCCTTTAATCTTCACATTTCGTCTTAAGTTTTTGGATTATTTTAAGCTGTTGATCCTGAAACAAAAAAATACATTTACAAAACCAAAGAAAGTGTTCTAAGTATTTTTCTGTTAATTTTGTAATTTTCAATAAAAAGAAAAATAGGCTATCGATCCAACTCATGATAAATATTTTACAAGAAGCAGGTCATCTACCTAACATTTAATGTGGTTGGTTAAAATTCTTTAAGATTACATATTATAAAAACATGTGAAAATAACACACCTCAATAAAGTTAGATGTGCTGCAGACAGGTTTCTCTCCAAATACTTTGCGATGAACAGGTTGTTGCTTCTCACTTCTGTAACATGGGGCTGGTAACTGCAGACAGGCGTCTCTTCTCGTACTATGTGAGAAACGGATTTTTGTTCTTCACACTTGTTAAATTGGGCTAATAACTGTAAAGGACAAATAAAAATATTAATAAACATTTTGTAAGTTTTTATTAAAATGTTGTCAAGATTTTTTAGTAACCCATAGCACCGCACCCTCTTAGGAAATGAGTGTAATTTACCTCTGCATAGTTAGAAGTGCTGTAGATAGGTTTCTCTACCAACACCCTGCGAGAAACAGATTCTTGTTCCCTACAATCTTCGAATTGAGCTCGTAACTATAAAAATACAAATACATGTTTGTAATATTTTTTGCTTGTTTTTAACCTGCAGCCATACTTCGTAAGCATTTTACCACTTACCAACAACTCGCTTGAAGGCAAAGCATCACGCGCAGCCTTGTAACATTTAAAGTTCGATTAAAACATTTTTCTTCAAAATGTAGCGAACAAATAAAAATGTGTTTAGTTTTGGTGTTGAGGTTTTCTACACCAAGTATATTCAGCCACTTTTCTTTTTGTTTCTCACACTTTGGTAATCTAAAACCACAAAAAAGAAATCGTCTTTAAATAGGTACTATTCATCTATCGATATATTGAAAATGCCGAACCGTACTGTTTTTCGATCACTAAATAATGATAGAAAAACATTAGATCATAATGATTTCTTATATTTATGCGAACACTACACATTTTTAAATAATATTAATTTTTACGAATTTTATCGCGTACATTAGATCATTATGGAAAAGAACTAGGTTACTTACCTATGCAAAGTAATATTTTGATGTGTGTTCTTGTTTTTTATCCGGCAGCTTATTACACTGCACCTGTCCATGATAAATGTAGTCCTCTACTAGTTTTGAAATGCACAATTTTCACATAAAACGCATAAAAACATAAAATTTTCTTAAAAATTTGAAAACAAACTAGTCGCTATGACAACTGATATACTTGTCATTGACTGTGACACACTGTAGCACACACGGCTAAAGACCGAGCGCAGTGCTCGCTTAAACAATTTTGATCCTTTAGTTGATAATTATTTTAGGATACATAGTAAGTACGGTTTAGAAATAAAAGTCTGGAATGTTTTTGTATAATATTTAGTATAATATATAGTATATTTATTACAATTAACATAAAATGAAAATAAAAAAGAAATGTGTTGGACAAATACACTATGAATATATATTTAAGTAATTCAATGTTTTCATTCTGCGATGTCATTAATGTCTGCTAGAGAGTACAGACAAATTTAACATGTCTTATTGGTATTTGCCCGAAAATCAAACATCGTGATTTCATTAAAACAAAGTTTTTGTAAATGCATAACATTTAAATTTAAATATTAGGCCATATATGAGAAACGGAATGTTAAAGGGATAAATAAAATACAGAGCACGAGTGCGTGACGTACACGTCAAGTAAATACTTTTATTTTAAAATTGATAATACTCGTTTTTTTTTATAATATTTACTCAATGTTTTGAATTTACTTTTATCCATTAGGGATACAAAGTACACATTTTGGCAAAAATAAGCCGAACATGCTAAACGATACTTGTATTTTCGATAAAACATTCGGCCTATTTAGTTTAAATCTATGTCCAATATCGGTTAAAATAAAAAATTATTAAAATGTGTCTCTCAGTGGCATTGAGCGAGTTTTTCATGGATCGACTATTTCTGGTAAAAGGCATGTATTGTAGAAATCTACGAGCCTACGAGATTTTTGAGCGGTAATGTAATTGAGACCAAGATGTTGATGTGAATGGTCAACATCACCTTCAACTGCCCTTTCACAACTTCCAGTGTCATCTATATCCTAAAATTATTAATTTTGAATATGAATATGAATAAAATAAGAATATATTGAATTTATAGACGCCAGCCATTGAGCTATTATGTACTACGTACTAGAGGCGACACTGCATTCAGCTACTATGTTCCACTCAACTGCGGTGCATACACCGCACTTTAATCTGTCATAAAAATATCTCGTGATAAAAATATGCCGTCGTGCGTACTTATATATTGCACAAATAATTCAAGAAATGTCAGTAAAAACCAAGGAATTACTTTTCATTGGTTAATAAGATACGTTTAATGAATAAAAAAAGTATTATAAATTAGTAATAAAACAAATTATTCGTAAGACGCTATCTCTTGTCACGTAATATAGATTATGAAATTAATTTGTTAAGATTCGACATTTCTGAGGGTAAGTAGTCAAGTATAGGACGAATATATTATTATACACATTTTTTTGTAGAAACGTATATGAGTTATCATAATTAGGCCAAATTTTTTTCTGTTTCCAGATCGGGCCAGTGGTTACCAATAGCAATGGCCTCTGTACAGGAGATGGAAGAAGTACAGAATGAGGTACCACGAGTGTCGCAGAAGGAACTTGGTGCGGCAGTCTTAAAACTCCGAGCAAAAAAAACCAAAGCTTCAGGTCCCGACGGAATTCCTGGCCGCGCCTGGGTTTTAGCCCTCAAGGAACTAGGGGAACGATTCCGCAGGCTACTTGATGCCTGTCTGGAGATGGGACGGTTCCCATTACAGTGGAAAACGGCCAGGCTAGTCCTTCTGAAGAAGGATGGGCGCCCCGCCGACTCTCCCTCCGCCTACAACCCTGTAGTATTGCTCGATGAAGCAGATAAGCTATTCGAGTGAATAATAGTCCGTCGCTTTATCGGGCATCTCGAAGAGATGGGTCCCGATTTGTCAGACCAGCAGTTTGGCTTTCGAATGGGTCGGTCAACGATAGACGCAATTAAATGCGTCAAGGCCCATTCGGACGAGATTTTGGCAAGGGGTGGGGTTTTGTTAGCAGTGTCTCTAGATATTGCCAACGCTTTCAACACCATGCCCTGGGAGTGCATCAGCGAGGCACTGAAGTACCAGAAAGTGCCTCCCTATCTCAGACGAATAATCGGGAGCTATCTCTCTGAGCGATGTGTTTGCTATCCTGTGCGGGAAGGCAGGATATTAAGGAGGGTAATGTCGTGCGGCGTTCCACAAGGCTCGGTTTTAGGACCGCTTCTTTGGAACGTCGGTTATGACTGGGTGTTGCGGGCAGACCTTCCCCCGGGTGCTGGCATAATCTGCTATGCAGACGATACTCTGGTCACTGCCCGGGGGGAGACCTATGAGGTAGCCGTTCGTATTGCCACTACGTCTGTGGCACAGGTTGTTTGCAGAATTAGGATGTTAGGGCTGGAAGTGGCGTTAAGCAAGTCCCAGGCCATCTGTTTTCACAGGTCTCGAGAATCACTGCCACGGGGATTCCACATCATTGTCAGTGATGTCCTTATTCAGGTTGGGTCCAACATGAGGTACCTTGGACTCATTTTGGATAGCCGTTGGAGCTTCTGCGAGCACTTTAGGTGCTTGGTCCCCCGGCTAATGGGAGCAACAACTGCCTTAAAGTGGCTGCTACCCAATGTCGGAGAACCCGATACGTATTGCCGCCGTCTCTATTTGGGGGTGGTTCGGTCCATGGCTTTATATGGGGCCCCTATATGGGTTGGGGCTCTGACGGAAAGAACCATCGCCTTCCTGAGAAGGCCCCAGAGGGCGATGGCCGTTGGAGTCGTGCAAGGATACCGGGCGATCTCTTTTGAGGCGGCATGCGTTTTGGCGGCATCCCCACCCTGGGATATAGAGGCGGAGTTCCTTGCATCTATGTACGATTGGCGCTTGGAACTTCGACACCGAGGGTATCGCCCCTCTCCCAGAGAGTGGCAATTGCGAAAGCTCCACACTCGGCAACTTGTGCTTGAAAAGTGTCTAGCCCACCCGAAGGCAGGAAGCAGAACTGTCGATGCTGTTCGTTCAGTCATGTTAGACTGGACAAACAGGCGGCATTGGTCACTGACCTTCCGGCTGGTGCAAGTGCTTTCCGGACATGGGTGCTTTGGTAAGTATCTGTGCCGTATAGCCGGAGAAGAGCCGACAACTGAGTGCCATCACTATGGTAGCGACGAAGACACGGCGCAGCATACCCTTGAGGTTTGCCCGGCTTGGACTGACTTGCGTCGGGACCTCGTGGCTGTAGTGACGGGGACGAACTCTCGCTCTCAGCTTTTAAGCTATGGTTGGATGCGAGAGGACGTGGAGTGCTAGAGTAAACTTTTGCAAACAAGTGATGTCACAAAAGGAAGCTGCGGAGAGGGAGAGGGAAAAGACGGCAACTATTCCATACCGCAGCCGGAGAGCTGGGCGCCGGAGAAGAGCATATCAGGCTCTCTTCCACCCCCCATAATTGAGGCTTAGGGTGCGGATACCGGGGTTGTCCGTACTGATATATCACTTGATATGTGCTTTTGTATATTTAATAAAGTTAATGGAAGTCATAGACATTTAAATTATTCGAACTTACCTCATCTATATCTGTCATATATGAATCGAATCAAACACACCTGAAGTATAACCATCCGCAATCGGCTGCATAGTTGTAGCCAGCTGAACCTAGGTGTAAATTGAAACACATTTCGGCTTTTAGCCGTGACATTGAAACCCTTTATTAACATTTTTAATAACCCTCATTTACATTTTGCATTACCAACTATAATAATTCTAGTGCATATTATCAAAAACATATCATCTGCAAATGCCTGCGATTTCGTCAACGATGGACGACAAGAATTTTCTTTTACATGTGAAGTAAGCGGCCGTCAGATAAGAATATTTAGATCTAGAGTTCACGACTTTGACCTCTTTTGACCCGGGCTTCATCTTATTGGCTTATCGTTCGTTTGTTATGTAATAATTTTACAAATGCAGTTACATAGTTGCAATCACTTCGGATAACTATAAACAACCGTCGCCTACGACGGTGTTGCCAGATTATAAATTTTACATTTGTAGACCCCTCAAAACTTGTTGTTCGCGTTTACTTCAGTCCAGACTCGGCATTAATAACAGCGCCATTGAATAAATTCGCAGAGAACTACGTCGGCTTCGCAGTTCGATGTGGTATTTAACAAACCGAGTAGATGGCGCTTATACAGAATTATTTCAATATATTATATTAAATTCAATTAGATCATAAAAATGCATTAGACTTAGTGTTAGCTTCGATCTTGGACCATGAATTGTTAAGGAGTAAAACCCAAATTAAGTCAATATAATCATATAAAACCAACATAAAAATTTAAAACATTTTTATAATTATCTGTCTTCTCCATAAACGACCTGGAAAGGTCAGTTAGGTTCGATTTCTTGTACTAATTAATGTAATGCAAAATAACAATTAAATAGTGTTTAGAACAGTCATTATTCCAGTTTAAAATAAAAAATATACTTATTTAGCTACAATAAAATATGACTACCTTTACGTGGTTTCACATATTTAAAATTTCTATAGAAAAGTTTCATTTTGACTATCAACTATCCTATTTCTTTATAAAGAATAATAATTTATAACCTACACCTTGTTATTAAATTATTTGATTGACAAACTATAACTTTATGCTGTCACCAACTACGGGTTTTATAAATTTTAAGCAGGGACTAGCTTTGTGATAGGTTTAATTAAAGTAATCAAAGCAGCTAAAGATGAAAAGGCTCCTAAAGCTCCCACTGCACTAGGGCTTAAGTTTGTGTACCCTAAAGCAGTCAAAGGAATGAATAAATCGCAAGAATTTTTTATTGTATCTATAAATATGTCTTTATGGCAACATAAAATTGCATAAAGATGTTTGAAACTAGAATTAAAATCAAATTGTTTCACAGGTACATTAATTAATTCAGTTGGATTTAGAAACATAGATTTATTTACATCCAGCACATGTAATATTTCATAGAAGTCTCTAGCTAGATTAGCAATTATGGATAATAGCCAAAATCTGTTGGCAGTTTGACTCCAACCATCTGAATCTGATCTTAAGAAACCACTTTTAGATAGCCAAACTATGTGGTCTGCATACAGATACAAAGCATGTGCTAATTTACTTGTTGTTAAAGTAAATCTTAGAAAAGGATCTTCAATGTGTATGTTATTAAATGCTGTGTAGAAAATGTCTATACATCTTCCCAATCTTAGAACTGTAACAAAATAATTATTATATGCAATTTTTAAATAAAGGTTATATAATCTAAGACTTCTATGTATACTACTAGACGGTTTCTGCGTTCTTAATACTTTGCGCACTAAGTTACGGTCAATTCTTCGTAACTCCATGCAGATCTAACAAAATCAGTATTACTGCGACCAACAAGATCAAATTGAGATCGCTGATGTGGCTATAGTTAACTGCTAAGCTATATATTTTCAATGGATTGAAGTTATTTTTAGCTGTACGTCGCACACCTCAAGATGCAATTTCGTTTTATCTGGGCTAAATACGTAGTTTCCCAGATGAGTTTTACGTTTACGCATTAAAATCCACAATCAGTTACCTTGTGTTACAAGGTATTTCTTTTGTTTAGGAACAGAATCCGCACATCCTCGTGATTTATTAAACAACAATGTCCAGTCAGGGCTCTTGCTAAAATACGAAATTTATTCTTACTCAATCTTCTCTCAGGCTACTCAGGCTTCTGAAGCGAATTTACAATCATAAACCTAGATTAACGTTTTAGAATGTTTTAATCCTGGTGTACCGGACAAGATCTTAAGTGATTTATTATGATAAAGAGTTCCAAGAGTCAGTCGGGCCATGCTTTCTGAGATTTCACAATATAGTTTAGGTCTAAATTATGTATTATTTGAACTCTCCCATGCATGCTTTTCGGCTTGCTCATACAATACCTGCATGACGGAATTCATTTCAAAACGAACCTGTTGTTAAACCCTAGGGCGTTTAAACAGTTTACGCAGTTTAAAATTAGCTTTGAAGTCATTAAGTTTGATGTCAGAGCTGGCAATGCTGCTTGACTATCAGAGTTTATGTACAGGGTCATTTTGCAATATACCCCCAAATTAATATATAATATAATATAAATAATAGTTCAGAATAAGTAATGTAGGCGAATAGTGAAGAAAAATTAATTTAAAAAAACTTCAAACATTCTGTCCTTTTTATCTTTTATATTCAGAATGCGTGGTAATGCATTATTTTAATTTAACTCATTGTCATTCTAAATATCTAACGTCTACTATTTTACTACGCACGCACACATTTGTAAGAGCCGCTCGCTCGGCAAAATGTTGTGGTTAAAAGGCGTAGTGGAGCACGCGTACGCGTAGTTTTGCCCATAAATCACATTTAGTTTGGGATAATTTCAAATAAAGGGAGATGCCTAATTTAATCGTATTTTCAAAAACTACTATAACGGTTTATCATTATTTATTACATATATTTTTAACTTAAATATAAAATTTGGATACGCTTTGAAAAATAACCCTGAATATAATATGGTGAAAACAGTTAGTAGTTTTTGAGTTCCGCAAAACGAAGTAAGGCGTAAATTTCTGTCTGGAAGATAGAAGTGAATTTTCCCAAATTCATATTAAGTTTGAATTTGAACCACATAAACCTGCCGATAACTTCACAGATAACCTGTTCATTCAGCTAGTATTCTCTGGAGGGTAGTTCTACTACATAAACTTTACTGTATAGTAGACGTATAATATCTGAGATCATACATAAAGTCGGAGTTTCTATCGTCGGTGTAACTGTCGTAAATGAAAATACAACTGCGTGGTATATTTATCCAGCAGCATTAGTGCCAACAATCAGACCGTGCCTGGTTCTACAGGCGTGACACAGTTTTTGTTCTCAGCAATTGCTGATGAAGTAGTATACATAGAAGTCTTTGTAAATAATAAATGATTTTCCAGCACTACCTTTTCTAAAAGTGCCTAAAGTATTTTCTAAACTTTTGACTCTGTCCACAGAATATTTATTCGCATTTCTTGTTTCAAGTTGATGCCAAACCAGACGACTCGTATATTGCACTAACCTATAAAATATATGTTTGTGATATTTCCGCACAATTCATAAATAAAGTGAATGCAATTTAAAAAAAATGAATGAATTAAAATTACGAAGTGCTCGAAACCTGTTTTCCTGTATCTGTCTAACACCCATACTTTAGTTGAGTTTTAAAAATATACAGTGATATAAAGCGTCTTAAATGTTAGATTAATGTGAAGACATTTATTTTTTTATATAATTTAAGCAAAATGTAGATAAATAATATAAGCACGTACGAAACAAGAAAAATATCGTGTATTGTGATGTTCTTTTATTTACCTTCCATCTTACCGTCTCTAAATCATTGGAAGAAAGGTTTTAACGCGGTGGTGGATGGCAAGGCAATATGGCGACGCGGGATAGCGAAATAAGAATATAAGAATAATAAATTTTTCAATAGGGATGAAAAAGGGATCCCAAAAAAAAGTACGATAGGCTTGTCCCCAGTTCAGATCTTCTCCGTCACTTTTCTTCACAAAATACCTACGTGCGTTTATTTCTTCGAAAGGTACCACTGACTCTTCAAGGGATAGCTAGTTATTTGATTTCAGACTAGTTTCAGTAGGTCACCGCGAGTGAAACTACTGTCAAAACAGAAGACGCGTTCAATTCGGATCAAAGACGCAAGGTAACATCGCTTTGTAATCTCACGCAAAAGATTCCTCGCGGAGTTCTGGAACTGATGCAAGCACAAATATACAATTAAAGGCCGAACCTCAAGAGCGTATGCAAAATCCAGAATGCAATGCATCCAGTAAACAAGATGCAGACAACGGCCGATAATGACCTGCAGATGCAGATAATGACTAAGCATTGGTATCACATTAAACGCCCAAGGTACACGCGCCTTGTTCCGCGACGGCAAACACCAGGCCGTTGTATCCAGAGCCATATCTAGAAGAAAAGTAGCACAAAGCACAAGTAAAAAACGCATCATCAACTCAAAGACGTCGTGCTATGGAAGCCGCAGAAATAAGAAGCCAAGGCAATTGCCGATGTATGTTCAAGACTTACTACCGTTCAACGGAAGGCGCAAAATATGGTTTAGCTTACAAACTGCGTACGAAGATTTTTTAAACACACGACAAAATCATAACAAGAATACGTCGTACCTACAAAAATTTGCACAAGTAGCCGTTGGTTAGTTTGTGATAAGTCAATCAGATCCTGCAGTGGTTTTCGACTTATATGCATTCACTAACTGAATAAAGAATATATTGGTAACCTATCAAAGCGTTAAAGAAGAGGCATTTTCTGCACAGTAATGAATGGACGCGAGTCATTACGCAAAAACTTATACATATATATTACATTGGAAAGTAAATGGTATGACGTATGAAGTTACTACACAGTGGCGAAGCCTCCATAGAAGCCGAGAAGCCGGGCTTGCCCTATCAAACTCCACAATCAATAATATCAACTAATAAAATAACTAGTAAACTGTTTCAAACTATTTCGAATTTCCCGCGCGCTACTTTGTTCTATACAGGTCATGACCTCGTAGCCTCAGCGATACTGCTGTCATAAAAAAAGGAGTTTAATTGAGCAATTAGTCGTCTCTCTCGCACGCGTGGGCTTTTTACCGGGCTTTCGAGAAGACGATCGCTCCCTTTCTAACCTGTGGCAAAATATTCTATAATGAAATATAACTACGATGGTTTATATAGCAATTAGTATAGATCGAAAAACTAGGCTTAGGTATGAAGTTAGCAAGTTAGTCGAGTGCGGGGGCGCGCGGGCGATACGTTTGCAAGTTCACTTCAGATTTCAATGTTCATTCTGTGTGTTTAGCTTGAGCGAATAAATATTGCGAATTGAAAATTTATGCTGTTTTAAAGATTTTTAGTGAAAATGAAAGATAATAGTGTTCCTTGTGATGAATTGAAGTGTGTTTATTTGCTAATGGGCGAGGAAAAGGTAAAATCTTTAAACATTTTTTTAACTTTGTTGAGAAAAAACAGCTCATATCCTCGCTCAATTATCGCAATTGAAAAACAGTAATTGGTACAATTAAAACGTTCACCAACATTTTACGCGGACGTAATCAATTTTTTCTAAAGAAAGAGAGACGACTCGATTTAGAATATAAATAATTTGTTTTTGATGTGAAACATCTATAGCAGAGGGGTAAAACCGATCGTTGAAGTGGCGAGGTATCGCCAGTCGCCACGCTACATGATAGTATAATATATTAGACATGGCGTTAATGGTTAAATTTATTTATTTGTAAATTTATTTAACAGATATAATTAACAGTTAAAAATATTAGTTATTTTTGTAGTGAATTGTTATTTTAAATCGGTTGTGTTAATGTCATTGCTTAAATTTTACGCATGCAATTTTTATTCAATAAACATTTCTTCATACTTTAATAGGTACAGGACTCTTTAGTAATATGTCTTTACATATGAAATTGGCGTTTTGTACGGGAGGAATATGAAGTCAATTTTTTTTTGTAAAATATATTTAACTAATAAAAGTATGCAACGTTGTTATCTATGTACTTTTGCCATCTCATAGGTAGTTCATTGATCCCTTTACTCAAAAAACCATGGGGGCAAGAATCAATAAACTATTTGAAGGCGGTTTGTACTGCCGCCGCACCACATTTGAATTTTTTTCCTTGTAAGAAATTGTCAAAATTTCGTAAAAAATGATAATCTGTTGGAGCAAGGTCCGGGGAGTACGGTGGATGTCGCAGACATTCCAATTGTAGCTCATCTAACTTAGTGGTTGTTTCTTGTGCAGTGTGGTCTTGCGTTATCGTGAAGCAGCAGTGGCCTAGAGCGATTAACCAATCTCGGTTATTTAGCAGCTAGTTCTTTCTTCATGGTTTGCAGTTGCTGACAATAGATATCTGCCGTAATCGTTTGGCCAGATTTTAGAAAGCTGTAGTGATCGACATCATCGCTAGTCCACCAAACACTCACAAGTAACTTTTTCTGAGTGAATTATCACTTAGGGCAGGATTTGGCTGGGTCTCCAGGGTTCAGCCATTGCGACGAGCGCTTCCGATTATCGTACAGTATCCACTTTTCATCACAAGTAATGATTCGATTTAAAATTCCTTCATTTTTGTGTCGGTTGAGCAAAGTAACACAGCAGTCGACGCGTGTTTGCAAGTTCGAATCGCTCAATTCATGAGGTACCCATCGTTCAAGTTGTTTTACTTTCCCGATTTGCTTGGATTTGTTTTTCTTGCCTGCAGCTATTTCCGAAGTGCTTTGTGATGGATCCGTTTCCACAATAGCTTTTAATTCTTCATTTTCTACATTGGTCTTCGGCAGTCCATGGGGTTGGTTCTGAAGGTCGATATTTCCAGAACGAAAACGTTGAATCCAAAAACGTACCGTGCTTTCTTATGAGACACCAGCGCCGTACACATCATTAATCCTACGAGCTGTTTCAGCAGCACTGGTGCCACGGTAGAACTCGTACTCGTAAATATACCGATATCTCATGTTTTCCATTGTGCGGTAATAAGCAACGTCAAAGAAAAGAATTATGAGGAAAAAACAAATGAATGACTGTTTTCAAAAATCAAATGTACCAGCTAAATGAATTTATAAATTTGAATTTGGAATTCATAACCAAAGAGATCTCCTCTTTGGTTGTTATATTTCATGTTATATTTCAGGTTAAAGTGGTCAGTACGACAAAACGCTAATTTCATATGTAAGGACCCAATATTAAAGTTTAATTAAGCTAGGCGTATTTAAAGGTTTATTAATTCAATTTTTATATTACTGTCAATATTTGTCAGCATAAAATATGAGATATAAGTTTAATTTTATAGCAAATAATTGTTACAATCCTTTTTAATGTGACGCCTAAATTTTAATGTAATAAATCAAAATAATACATGTATTGCTGTTTTTAATATAATAAGAATATTTCCTTTAGTCCTTTAGTATATAAAATTTTAATAGCGCCATCTGCTTAATTCTGTAAGTGCATTTATTTTATCGAACGAAAATTGATTGATTCTCACGGTGGTAAATAAAGAATACGCTAGATGGCACAAACAGGGTTATCGGTTAATTTAATAATTCAATATTTAAATTACCATATGAGTTAAAAATATAATTTTGTACGGTTTATTAAAATTGAAAATGAATTAAAATAATTTTATAATAAACGGTCATTATTTTATGGAAAAAAAATTGTAATGCTTCATCTTTTCATTATACCATATCTAATTCATGTCGTAATCTGTTCTTTAGGCATTTAACTTAAACAAAATAATTTCGATGTTTCACATCTGCCAGGCATCCCTTTTTTTAATTGTGTGCATAGTTTGTTTGTACTTTGTTCATGCTTTTATTTTGTTCATGTATTGTATTGTATGTAAATATCTTTTTCTTTCGCTCAAGCCAACCCAAACGGCTTTTTTCAAAGCCACCGAAGGTATGCAATTGCTGATATTTACAATCTTTTTAGCAGTAGTGTGCCTTCAGTGTGCTTTGTTAAACACGTCCTTGACAGCACTGAATATGAAACTGAAGATAGGAGACAGACTAAGATTGGTGTATTTTTATAAAACTGCTAAAAACAACAGAATCATATCTTGGGCTTGCCCTAGTTTGGAGCCCTAACTTCCGCACTGTTACTACATTGGGATAAAGAAAGGAATGATACTAAAGAGTCCAACAAAGAAACAGCAACATCATCAATGGAGGTCTCTACAGCAGGCGAACCCCTGTGAACGTCGTCGCCCTAACTGAAAATAGCATCAGTAATATTCAAGGGGCCGCTAAACAGGCTATCCTGCTAATAGCAGCACGAGAACTTATGCCCTGCTGAATGAAGGAAGCACAGTCATCTTAGTTTTAATGGACCGTCAAAGTGCAAGTGTGATTAGAGAAGATAAATCAGCCAACAGAATGTGGATATAAGGCATCAGAAGGAAGAAATTAAACGTGAAAAGAGCACGGTCGTCAATCATCATATAAAAGCGAAACACGTGGGAAAGAATTTAAAATACAC